CCATGCACCTAGGCCCAGTCATTTCCTCTCTCTGGATCCATTTCCTCATTCTGTTTGTTTGTTTGTTTTGAGACAGACTCTCACTCTGTCACCCAGGCTGGAGTTCAGTGGTATGATCTTGGCTCACTGCAATCTCTGCCTCCTGGCTTCAAGTGATTCTAATGCCTCAGCCTCCTGAGTAGCTGGGACTACGGGCATGCACCACCACGCCCAGCAAATTTTTGTATTTTTAGTAGAGATGGGGTTTCACCATGTTGACCAGGATGGTCTCGATCTCTTGATCTCATGATCTGCCCGCCTTGGCCTCCCAAAGTGCTGGGATTACAGGTGTGATCTACTGCGCCCGGCCTAATTTTTGTATTTTCAGTAGAGACAGGGTTTCACCATGTTGGCCACGCTGGTCTGGAACTCCCTGACCTCAGGCGATCCACTGGCAGCCTCTCAAACTGCTGGGATTATAGGCATGAGCCACAGCGCCCCGCCCTTTCCTCATTTTGAAAAGGACAGAGAGGAGGTGTGAAGGGGTGATGTTCTCTTCGGTAACACCTAAGGTCTCTGATGGTATCACTGTTGGAAAGGGGCCTCAACACCCTCTACCCCAAACTCTACTAAAATGCGTTTCTAGCAACTCTAAACTCAAATCGTTTGTGGTCTTTCCTCTAGCTTTATTAGTCACTGATCTTTATCCCTGGTCCAGGAAGTGAGCTTGCAAGGGGGCACTCCTCCAGATTTTCCAAGGAGAGAACCTCTTGGTTGTAAATTCACCAAAAATGTGGAACATTCCCTCCTACTGGGTAAAGTTGGCCAATGAAGTGGCAACCTTTGCTACCTACCATCACTGCTACTGTTTTAGATCTATTTTCAAAAAAAAGCATATTAGACCAGCTTTATTGAGACATTAGAGAACATAAAATTCACCCATTTAAAGTGTACAATTCAATGGTTTTTAGTATGTTCCTAGAATTGTATAATCATCACCACCACCATCTATTTCACTACGTTTCACCATTTGCAGAAAGCGGCCGCTGCCCATTAGTAGTCACTCTCATTTTGCCCCAGCCCTAGGCAACCACCAATCTACTTCCTGTCTCTAGAGATGTAAAACATAGCATTTTGCCCCATTAGGGACATTTCCTACAACTAAGTATAGCATCATCATATAGCACTGTCTAATCAAGAACTCACGACCCATATATAAATGGCCAAAAAAAACATGAAAATATGCTCAACATCACTGGTTATTAGGGAAATGCAAATTGAAAACCACAATGAGATACCATCTTGCATCCATCTGGTTGGCTACCGTCAAGAAAACAGAAAATAACAAGTATTGGCCAGGATGTGGAGAAATTGGAACCCTTGTACATTGTTGGTGGAAATGGAAAATAGTTCAGTTGCTGTGAAAAACAGCCTGGTGGTTCCTTGAAAAACTAATAATAGAACTATTTATCAGCGATTCCACTTCCAGGTATATACCCAAAAGAATGGAAAGCAGGGCCTCTAGGAGATATCTGTACACCCTGTCCGTAGCATTATTCTCAATAGCCAGCTGTCCATCAACTCGACTGTCCATCCACAGATGAATGAATAAACAAATAAACTGTGGTCTATACATACAAAAAAATTTTTTTTTTTTTTTTTGCCAACATGGTGAAACCCCATCTCTACTAAAAAGTAAAGGGTTATTTATTTTTTTTTTTTTTTTTTGGGACAGAGTCTCACTCTGTCACACTGGCTAGAGTGCAGTGGCACTATCTCGGCTCACTGCAACCTTTACCTCCCAGGTTCAAGCAATTCTCCCACCTCAGCCTCCTGAGTAGCTGGATCACAGGCATCCGCCACCATGCCTGGCTAATTTTTATACTTTTAGTAGAGATGGGGTTTCACCATGTTGGCCAAGCTGGTCTCAAACTCCTGACCTCAAGTGATCCGCCCACCTCGGCCTCCTAAACTGCTGGGATTACAGGTGTGAGCCAACATGCCTGGCCAAAAGGTAAAGAAATTCTATGGCCTGGTGTGGTGGTTCACACCTGTAATCCCAGCACTTCGGGAGGCCAAGGCAGGCGGATCGCTTGAGCTTAGGAGTTCAAGTCCAGCATCCTGGGCAACAAAGTGAGACCTTGTCTCTACAAAAAAATACAAAAATTAACCAGGCACGGTGATGCACACCTGTAGTCCCAGCTACTCAGGAGGCTGAGGTAGGAGGATGGCTTGAGCTCGAGGGGCAGAGGTTCCAGTGAGCCAAGATCACACCACTGCACTCCATCCTGGGTGACAGAGCCAGACCCTGTCTCAAAAAACAATGAAAAAACAAACAAACAGGCTGGGCATGGTAGCTCATGCCTGTAATCCCAGCACTTTGGGATGCCGAGGCAGGTGGATTACCTGAGGTCAGGAGTTTGAGACCAGCCTGATCAACATGGTGAAACCTCGTCTCTACTAAAAATACAAAAATTAGCTGAGGGTGGTAGTGCATGCCTGTAGTCCCAGCTATTTGGGAGGCTGAGGCAGGAGAATTTGCTTGAACCCAGTAGGCAGAGGTTGCAGTGAGCCGAGATTGCACCATTGCACTCCAGCCTGGACAATAAGAGCAAAACTCCATCTCAAAACAAACAAACAAAAAGCAAGGAAATTCTAGCTGGGTATGGTGGTGCACACCTGTAGTCCCAGCTACTGGGAAGGCTGAGGTAGGAGAATAGCTTAAAGCCAGGAGTTCAAGACCGGCCTGGACAACACAACACATGCTACAATGTGCATGAACCTTGAGGACATTATCTTAAATAAGACAAATGCTGTATGAGTCCACTTATATGAGTTACCTAGAAGAGTCAAATTCCTAGAGACTGAAAGTAGGATGGTGATTGCCAAATGGAAGGATGGGGAGTTATTGTTTATTTTATTTTATTTTTGAGGCAGGGTCTCACTTTATCACCCAGGCTGGAGTGCAGTGGTACAATCACAGCTCAATGCAGCCTCAACCTCCTGGGTCCAAGCGATCCTCCCACCTCAGCCTCCCAAGTAGCTGAGATTACAGGCATGTGCCACCACACCTGGCTAATTTTTAGACTTTTTTGTAGAGATGAGGTCTCACTATGTTACCCAGGCTGATCTTGAACTCCTGAGCTCAAGGGATCCTCCTGCCTCAACCTCCCAGGTGTGCAGCACCTGGCTGAGTTATGGTTTAATGGGCAGAGAGTTTCAGTTTTGCAAGATGAGAAGAGTTCTGGAGATAGACTGGTGATGGTTACCCAACAATGTGAATGTTGTTGCTACCATTTAGCTATACACTTTAAAATGCTTGAAGTAGGCCGGGCGCGGTGGCTCAAGCCTGTAATCCCAGCACATTGGGAGGCCGAGACGGGTGGATCACGAGGTCAGGAGATCGAGACCATCCTGGCTAAAACGGCAAAACCCCGTCTCTACTAAAAATACAAAAAACTAGCCGGGCGAGGTGGCAGGCGCCTGTAGTCCCAGCTACTCGGGAGGCTGAGGCAGGAGAATGGCGTAAACCCGGGAGGCGGAGCTTGCAGTGAGCTGAGATCCGGCCACTGCACTCCAGCCTGGGCGACAGAGCGAGATTCCGTCTCAAAAAAAAAAAAAAAAAAAATGCTTGAAGTAGTAAATTTTTTTTTTTTTTTTTTTTTTGGTTTTTGTTTTTTGTTTTTGTGAGACAGTGTCTTACTCTGTCACCCAGGCTGGAGTGCAGTGGCACCATCTCGGTTCACTGCAACCTCTGCCTCCCAGGTTCAAGTGGTTCTTCTGCCTCAGCCTCCTGAGTAGCTGGGACTACAGGCATGCACCACCATGCCCAGCTAATTTTTTGTATTTTTAGTAGAGATGGGATTTCACCATGTTGGCCAGGCTGATCTTGATCTCCTGACCTCGTGATCCACCTACCTCAGCCTCCCAAAGTGCTGGACTTACAGGTGTGAGCCACCACACCCAGCCGAGTTAGTAAGTTTTATGTCATGTGTATTTTATTATAATTAAAAAAAAAAAAAATTGACTGGGTGTGGTGGCTCACACCTGTAATCTCAGCACTTTGGGAGGCTAAAGCGAGTGGATCCCCTGAGGTCAGGAGTTCGAGACCAGCCTGGCCAATACGGCAAAACCCCGTCTCTACTAAAAATACAAAATTAGCTGGACATGGTGGTTCATGCCTGTAATCCCAGCTACTCAGGAGGCTGAAGCAGGAGAATTGCCTGAGCCTGGGAGGCAGAGGTTGCAGGTAGCCGAGACTGTACTGCTGCATTCCAGGTTGGGCAACAGAGCAAAACTCTGTTTCAAAAATAAAATAAAATCAAACAACAAATCTCATGACCCACATCAAAAGGCATAGGCCAGGGGTGCCTTTCTTATGACACACAAAATGCTCACTTTTTTTCCTTTTAAAAATAAAAATATTACTTTTTATTAAACAGCTAAACATAGATAACATTAGCAAAACGCTTTTTAAAAAAATATTATTCACAGAATATGCTTTAAAAAATCAACACTCAAGCACAATTTGATCTTTTCTCATTAACCCTTCACTAATATGAAACAGGTGTCATCATTTTTGTAAGACTATTTACTGAATGCTTAAGCACAAAGAAGAATGCCAAGTACATAAATGTGCATTAATTCATCTACTCTTCCTGACACCAGGAAGTAGATTTTAATATGATACTTATCTCACTTCTCAGAAATAGAACTGAGGCGTAGAGATAAAATAACTTGTCCAAAGCCACAAACCTGGTGTCAGAGTTGAGACCGAATCTAGTCTTCTGACTCCAGAATCGATGCTGTCTCTATTAAAAGACAACGGTTCTCAAGGAACATGAAAACAGCCATTCTCCCATCAGTTAGGGGCCTGTTTAAACAAATCCACCCCAAACAGCTTTTTCTTAGTATTCTCTACTAATAGTTTGCAAACTGTCTTCCAAAAATAATTTTTAAGTCTGCATCCTTTACAACAACAACAACAACAAAAAAATCTTCAAACAATTCAGTGTGAGTACCTTTTTTTAGTAGAATGTGGTTTTGGAGCAGAGGCAGATGATGAATTCTTGGCCATGTCTTACGTCTTTCAAGTCCTCTTCTGTAAAATCGGACAACTCAGAAGTGGTAAGGACCAGAAACACGGCAGGTCCATGTTTTTTATACATGGCCCCTCCAGACATAGATCTCGCCTCCGCCACCATCTCTGCAGAGTCCTCTAGTTCCTTCTGAAATAGAAAGGTCATCCTAACAGCAATGATTCTGGTTTAGCAGGGGGGATATTTGAAGCAGGTGCCTTTGGAGGAAGTGGACCCCTCCTACAGGCCAGGCTTCCAAAAGCTGGAGTTTGTGTTTTGCGACTCCACACTGACCACTGTTGACTGCACTAACGTTGGTTCTCCAGGACACATTTGGAAATGAGACAAACAGATCCTCACTGAGTCTTGGCCAGTCTCCTGATCTATCTTTTTTTTTTTTAGATGGTCTTGCTCCGTCACCCAGGCTGGAGTGCACTGGCACAATCACTGCTCACTGCAGCCTCTGACTTCCCAGGCTCAAGCAATCCTCCTACCTCAGCCTCTTGAGTAGCTGGAACTACAGGCATGTGCCACCATGCTTAGCTAATTTTTTTGTATTTTTTGTAGAGGTGGGGTCTCACTGTGTTGCCCAGGCTGGTCTCACATTCCTGGACTCAAATGATCCTTCCACCTCAGCCTCCCAAAGTGCTGGGATGAGCCATGAGCCACCACAGACAGCCTTGGCTGTTCTCTTGAATGAAGGGGATTACAATCTGAGGGTCTCAGGCTGGCCCTTTATTGCCTTCTGGGTGGACTGGAAGCAGGGACAGCCACTCTGCACAGAGTGCACGTCGCAGCAAGCACACCGAGGGGATGCCTGGCTTCTTGCTGATTTTCCCGTTCCTACTTAAAGTCTCTTCCTCAGTCACAGTTGTATTCCTGGCTTTAGATCTCATATGTCCCTGAATCTTTTAATGAAATTCTTCTCTTTGGCTTAAACTATTTCCAGATGATTTGGGCACATGTCATAACAGAATCCTAACTGATACACTATTAAATTCATTTCTTCATGACTTGTATGACCACTGGAGTTAATTTGTCCTATTGTAGTCCGGATTCAAAGAACAGAAAAGAATCTCCAGCCAAGTGTGGCCCACCAGCATGAAGAGGAAAGCTCTCCAAGACATGAGGACCAAAAACAGGCCCCATCCCGCTATACTCCTCTAGAAAATGTAAAACAACATAATATACATAAAATACTGTTTAGTTGCCAAAGAGGTCAAATGTTGAACTATGGACAGTAATGGCATTCAAATGCATTCAACTTTAATACTGCATCTGTCTGCAAAAATGAAAACAAAGCAAGTAAAGTTCCTTGGTTAAAAATAGTGCTTTTTAATTGGCTGGGCCCAGTGGCTCATGCCTGTAATCCCAACACTTTGGAAGGGCAAGGCAAGCGGATCACCGGAGGTCAGGAGTCCAAGACCAGCCTGGTCAACATGGTGAAACCCCATCTCTACTAAAATATAAAAATTAGCCAGGTGTGGTGGCACACACCTGTAATCCCAGCTACTCAGGAGGCTGAGGCAGGAGAATCACTTGAACCAAAAACAAACAAACAAAAAAAATAGTGCTTTTTAAAGCAAACAGGTAAGGGCAAGGGAAAAGACCTTGACTGGGAGGCAAGGAGTAAACTTAAAGGGAAAACAGCATCCCACAGATGTGCCCTTGAGGTTGAGGCCAAGCCAGAGAGGGTGGTTCCCTACAAATTCATCTGGACCCCTAGGGAAGGTAGAAAAGTTCAGAAATCCTAAGCTTTAATATAAGGGAGAAGGAAGAGGGCAGGGAGTCATTTTCTTTCTTTTCTTTTTTTTTTTTTTCCTTTGAGACAGTCTTGCTCTGCCACCAAAACTGGAGCGCAGTGGTGTGATATCAGTGTGCTGCAACCTCTGCCTCCCGAGTTCAAGCAATTCTCCTGCCTCAGCCTCCGAAGTAGCTGGGACTACAGGCACGTGCCACCACACCTAGCTAATTTATTTTTAGTAGACATGGGATTTCACCATGTTGGTCAGGCTGGTCTCGAATTCCCGACCTCAACTGATCTGCCCGCCTCAGCCTCCCAAAGTGCTGGGATTATAGGCATGAGCCACTGTGCCCGGCCCATTTTCTTAGATTAAGAAGAAACACCTCCCTTGGTCCAAGCCAGCCGCCTCACACTCCATAAATAAACCATGCTGATTCAAATCTGAATGGCTTTAGTCAGCTCTCACCAAGCCTGCAAGGTCTTCCCTTCTCCTGTCTACTTAATCCAGTCCCAGCCATCCCTTAACACCTAGTATAAAAGGTTCCTTCCTCACTGTCATCTTTCTGATGTCCCTCTCAACCAGACTCCCATTACACAGAGAATCACAGCTGGAATGGCCCTGATGGAAAGCATCCAACTTGGCCATCCTTCCCGCTGAAGCTCTTGATTACGTGTCTGATGTTGACTGTTGTTTTAGGGGTGTTGGCATTGTTGAGATGGTAACTCTCCAAATAGTGCAAGAACAGAACACAAAGAAGTTCCCTCCTCCTCCCCATCTCTACTAAAAAATACAAAAAACTAGCCGGGCTTGGTGGCGGGCACCTGTAGTCCCAGCTACTAGGGAGGCTGAGGCAGGAGAATGGCATAGACCCAGGAGGCGGAGCTTGCAATGAGCTGAGATCCGGCCACTGCACTCCAGCCCGGGCAACAGAGCGAGACTCCTGTCTCAAAAAAAAAAAAAAAAAAAAAAGAGGTTCCCTCCTCCTGTGAGTGATCAAGTCCCAGCCATCTGGAGAAACCAAGGTGAAAAAGTGACTGAGAAGCGTGTCAACAGATAAATTACCCAACTTAGCAAGCCATACTCACAGAACGGGATCTTCTCTTTACAGAGATCCCGTATTTTCCATGAAAGCACCTTTATTATCATCAGCTGTTGAAAACAGAATGGGTAGAGAGAGATAGGGAAAGAAAAATATAAATGACCAATGATCTAATTTGCCAGCAGATATGCCCAGAAACGACTGTCCCGGAGGAACAGCTGGGAGGTGCGATGACTGCTCATAGCCCCACCGACATCACCGTGTGACCGTCTGTGTGAGCTCTCAGGCAGCGTCCAAAAAGTCAGTCCCACCTGCACATGGATGCTGCCCAGAACATTCGGCCAACAGGGGTCTCTGTATTCAGCTCCAGATGCTGACATCGGCTGGTGGTGATTCTGACCCCCTCACCCTCACCGGTTTGGGTCTTAACACCTGCAGGGTCTCAGCTGTTCCTAGGCCTCAAAACAGTAACGAAGAGTCAAGGCATAAAGCTGGGTGGCCCTGACCGCTCCTTGCTGGGGGAATTGACTTCTCTGAAGGCAGAAGACATGGATTAACAAAGCCTGAGGATACAGAATATTTGAAATCCACACAGAAACTTGGTGCCCTTCCTGTCACCGCGGAATTAGCCCTGGGGTTTACAGTCACACACTGGATACTGATGTTTTAGTCAATGATGAACCGCATATGCAATGGTGGTTTTTTTTCTTTTTCTTTTTTCCTGAGACAGGTTCTCACTGTCACCCAGGCTGGAGTGGGAATGCAGTGTGGCATACTCTTGGTTCAATGCAGCCTCGACCTCCCAGGCTCAAGCAATCCTCCCACCTCAATCTCCCGAGTAGCTGAGACTATAGGCATGCATCACCACGCCTAGCTAATTTGTATATTTTTTGTAGAGACAGGGGTTTCACTATGTTGCCCAGGCTGGTCTCAAACTACTGGACTCAAGCAATCTGCCCATCCCAGCCTCCCAAAGTGCTGGGATTGCAGGTGTAAGCCACTACGCCCAGCCTGCAACAGTGGCTCTATAAGGTTATAATACAGTATATTTTCTGTACCTTTTCTATGTTTAGATGTGTTCAGATACACAAATACATACCATTATGTTATAGTTGCCTACAGTATTCAGCACAGTAGCCTGCTCTACAGGTTTGAACTGCTCGCCATATAGCACTGGTGTGCAGTAGGCTGTGCCATCTAGGTTTGTGTAAGTGTACTTGGTGATGTTTGCACAATGACTAAATCACCTAATGATGCATTTCTTAGAACATACATATTCCCATCATTAAGCGACACGTGACTATATTTCTATTAATGATCCTGCCATCTTATTCCCCATGCTCTAGACTTGCTGATCATCTTGGATTCCACCTTTTTTTTTTTTGAGATGGAGTCTCACTCTCACTCAGGTTGGAGTGTAGTAGCAAGATCTTGATTCTCTGCAACCTTCACCTCCCGGGTTTAAGCAATTCTCCTGCCTCAGCCTCCCAAGTAGGTGGGACTACAAGTGCACACCACCATGCCTGGGTAATTTTTGTATTTTTAGTAGAGACAGGGTTTTGCCATGTTGACCAGGCTGGTCTCCTGACCTCAGGTGATCCACCCACCTCAGCCTCCCAAAGTGCTGGGATTACAGGCATCAGCCACCGTGCCCAGCCGAAATTTTCTTTTTAAAAAGCAGACTATTTTCTCCAGGTGGTAACAGAAGAGGAAGTCAGGTACTCAAAATAGGAGGGGGATTTGATGCACCGTTGCTAGATTGGAAATGGAGGGGCCACACGGAAAGGACCAGAGAGTGGCCTCTAGGAGTGGAGAGCAGCACCCTGAGAACAGCCAGCAGGGAAACCGGGGCCTCATCCTACAGCTAAAAGGATGGAATCGCCCCCACCTCCATGAGCTCGGAAGTGGGTTCTTTCCTGGAACCTGTGGATGAGTGCCTGGCCAGCTCACACCTTGATTTCAGCCTTTCCAGGTCCTGAGCAGAGGGCCTGGTAGAGCCTGCCTGGACTTCTGACCTAAGGAACTGTGAGATGATAAATGGACGCTGGTTTAAGCTGCCACATTGTGTGGGCATATGTTACGCGGCAATAGAAAACTAATATAGTCTCCTAACTGGGGCCAGTTACCAAAACCAGACATTTCACGGGCAGAGGTGAGTCTCCACGACTAACTATGTCTTCTTCACACATCTCCTTCCCCTCTAGAAGCCTTCCCAGCCCCAGTGGGTACTGTCCTCTGTCACTGAGTATCTCCCACTCCCTTGGCCCTCGGCAAACACTGCCTGTAGGCAGGAATTCCCTGCTCCTCTTTGACTTGACCTTATTCTTATTCTCCAAAGCACCCAACACAGAGCAGGCACACAATAAATATTTGCTGATTCCGCCATTTTCTTTCAGCTCCTGTGGCCAGCAGGACCAATGAAGGGGTTCAAAAACTGCCTGGCCACAGGCAGACAGAAAGCCTTTCCCATCGGACTCTGGCTTTGTGACTTCCCGGGATTCACAAAGCACCTGGATGGTAACATGCCATTTCTCAAGCTTGGCCTTTTTTTTTTTTTTTGAGGCGGAGTCTCACTCTGCCACCCAGGCTGGAGCGCAGTCGTGTGATCTTGGCTCACTGCAACCTTTGCCTCCCAGGTTCATGCAATTCTCCTGCCTCAGTTTCCCAAGTAGCTGAGACTACAGGTGCACACCACCTGTCTTTAAACCATTTAAACTCAGTCTTTAAACCATTTTCCTACTTCCTGTTCATCAACATCTTCCAATGAGACCTGGTGTCTCATCTTTCCCCCTGCAAAGAGTAATGGGAAGGATGGCATAGATGCCAGTACCAATCTGGAGACCTCAAATCCAATGCCAGAGGAGAGAGGGGGCTGGAGGTGGGAGTGGGAAGGACTCTGAGACAGATAACAGCTTCCTCCTAGTTGGTTTCCAATGAGCTGAGTCTCATCTGAAGTAAGACTTCAGAGATGAACAGAACAGATAAACAGGGAAATTGGATTGGTTCAAAACCCGAACAGGTCACCGTCCCCCAAGGATGGGTCATGAGCAAGCAATCAGGACAATCAGCTAGCAGTGGGGTGGGAGGAGGCAGGTACAAAAAGCACCAAAGCAGCCAGGCATGGTGGCTCACGCCTGTAATCCCAGCACTTTGGGAGGCCAAGGTGGGTGGATCACGAAGCCAAGAGTTTGAGACCAGCCTGGCCAACATGGTGAAACCCCATCTCTACTAAAGATACAAAAAATTAGCCAGGCATGGTGGCACGTGCCTGTACTCCCAGCTACTCAGGAGGCTGAGGCAGGAGAATCGCTTGAACCCAAGAGGTGGAGGTTGCAGTGAGCCGAGATCACGCCACTGTACTCCAGCCTGGCTAACGGCGAGACTCTGTCTCAAAAAAAAAAAAGATACAAAAAAAAATGAGCTGGGCGTGGTGGCGTGTGCCTGTAATCCCAGCTACCTGGGAGACTGAGGCAGGAGAACCACTTGAACCCAGGAGGCCAGAGGTTGCAGTGAGTCGAGATTGCGCCATTGTACTGAGGCCTGGGCAACAGCATGAGACTCCATCTCAAAAAAAAAAAAAAAAAAAAAGAAAGAGAGAGAGAAATAAAGAAAGAAAGAAGAAAAAAAAAAAAGAAAGA